GAGATATTTCTCGGATCTCCAAGAAACGGGGGCGCGCATGTCGTCACTTCCGGCTTCAAAACTCAGAATCCGACTCGGAATCCGAGTTCCGAGGGCAAATGGAATGCAGCATAATATAGACCAGTCAGGCACTCCATGATGTCAAGAGACACCTGTGTTGTTCTTCCTGTTTCACACATTCTGATTGTGTGTTCTCTGGTAATTAGGGCCTCACTTCCCTTGCTTGGGGGTGGCTCAGTGGGTTTGACCTCTGTCTCAGTGATCTGAAAGTCACTTGTTCAAATCCCACCCTTTGTAGAATACTGTCATCTCCATTGGGCTGTGCACTTGGACCCCAAGCTGCGTGTGTGTGTCTCAAAGGAAAGCATGATGGGATATATGAAAAGAAACATTCCACAATGCTTGCGTTCGCATTCACACTGCAAATAAAGCCTTTATTTCGTTGATGTTGAACCTGCACCTGGTAGAGATGCAAAAATATAGCCCCAATCTCCTACCATCACAAAAACATGGAAGCTGGGTTTACTATAGTAAAATAAAAGCAAAGTACACAGAAAACGCTACTGGAAATGGGGAGCTGTTGGAACTTGGGGCCGCTGACTGGATGGAAGGTTCTGTAACCATTGGTGGAGAAGAGTGTAAAACAAAACTAAAACTATGAACATGAGACAGACAAGACAGGAACAAAAGAGCAAATAAAACTGATAGGGTATTAAATTGAGTAGCATGTCAAAGTCATGATCCACAGGAGAAGCCAGACTGAACCCTGAGCTGTATCTGTTAGCCTTATTTACTTTAATTAAGTCCCAGACGACTTGGGAGTAACAACGATAATATCCACTTGCTTATCAGCTTCTCACATTCGAAGTGCATCGCAATGATAAAGTACGACATCTCACGGTTCACTGCTTGTATAAATACTTTTGAATAATTAATTCTAAATACCTAATGCGCTGAGCTTAACTGATTCTATTAGCTGACACATCAGTTTTATTATAGTTTCTGATATTTTGACAGTACAAATGTAGGAAGAAGCATAACTCTAAAATGGTTTTCACTACATGATTTATAGCAACAGGTAAATGCTTGCTTGAACGATAGCCTCGGGGTAGACAGCTAGATCTGGATACACAGATAATTGAGTCTGGATTTGCTCCTCTATTATCTGTGAAAGCGCTGAGTATAACGCTGTAAGACAGCAGCAGTTGCAGCTAAAGAGAGGGATCTTTTCACTCTTCCTCGGTCATGAACTGTGAGGTGTCTTGCTAAGTAAAGTAAACTAAGACTGCAGCTTGAGTTTAGCAGGGTAAACAAAAAAAAGAAATCCAGAGATACTCTAGGGAACTGGCAGAGACTCCGATGCTCTGTCCACATTCCTACTTGACGAGTAGGTTATTTGGAGGGCTATGTTTTCTCTCTGCTTTGCTAAATGACGAAACACCAAGAACACAATGAATCTGCAACACTAGTCTACATGGTCTAACTTTGTCCCAAACAATGGAGAAGACAATGGAATGCAAAACCTAGTTTAGTATTTATTTTAAGACAAAAGCACAAGATATTTAAAAGTAAAATAAAATATTTACATTTGTGTATGCTTGCCTTTCTGTAGCTTCTCTCGTTCGTCTTCTTCCACATCTTTGTGCCCTGCCCACCCTTCAGATCATTGTTTATGAGTGTGTGTGTGTGTGGGGGGGGGGGTCTGCAATTAGAGGAGACCACATCTGCCAGACACCGGTATGCCGTCAGGGGTATTCGCTGGCCCTGTTAGAGATTAGATCCAGGCCTGCCCTATGACCCTTCACTATCGCATTTCCCCATCATCCGCCCCCCCACCCCAAAACATCCCCCGGGGTGAAAAAATGCAGCCATCCCTACTGGCACATTCGAGTCCCAACAGCAGGAACTGTCACATACGTCCTGGTGAAGTTGTGCTTCTGAATACCCTGGTTACCCAATAAACTGTGAAGCCACTGGGGTTACTTCGATTGGCACTAATCCTTGTAGCACCAGTGGGTTTTTGGTTTCACAGCGGCATGTCTGTTTACTTTCTACACAAATTTCTTATAAGTTACAGAATCTGGTCCCTGTGAACCATGACTGATGAAAACTAGAGCAGCACCAATGTAACACACTACAAATGTATAGATTTATGCCTAGCCAAGAAGACTAACAATAGAACCTGTATAAGGCGCTTCTATAGCAGTGATTCTCAATGATTGGTACAATTATGTTACTACAATCTATGGCTTGACCAATGATAGCCATTACAGGGGTGGCAAAAGAACTTGTCAGACAATGTGACCCCTGACCTCCCAAAGACATGCATTTGACCCCACAAATGGGAAAATGGGCAGCACAAGATCAGGTACATCTTAGGTGACACAGTGAAAGGCAGAAAATGCACAAATCACCAGGTCTTACAAATTAAAATGCAGATGATTTTGTTGTAAATCATTGTAGGAATACATCAAGTGATTGGTAATAGACAAAATTAATTGTCATGTGATGGTACCTAATTTTGTACTCTAAATATTGTTATTTTTAGGGACCCATTTATTTAGTTACCCTGAAACAAACATTTTTTGTTGTTTCCTATCCAGCCAGGAGCTTCCCATAATTTCATCTCAAAAGCAAATTTTCTAAAAAAAAATAATGCAGACTTTGCAAAAAAATGCAATTATTTTAGATGTATAACTGGAAACTGGATGCAAGCAAGTAGCATATTATAATGCAGGATTCAGGTGTGTATGAATGTAAGTAAAACTGTTAACGGTGCTTCTTTTAAAGCTACAGGCTTTTTCCAATGCAGTGAGTGCAATTATGCCATGTCAGCTTTGCAATGTGCTTAGAAGTAGTTATTTATTTTTGCTTGTGGCGTCATGCATCTTGATGCCTGACTAACGTTTGAGCAGCATTGATTCAACAATCAAAGGAGGGTGAAAAATTCCCAGATTACCGCTGGGAAATCTTTACTCAGGTCCCTTCTCAAAGGCTTCAAGTTAACTATTATCTTGACTTGATAGCATTAATCTTTATTGTCCGAGGCCCTGTTTTGCTGACAGCAATGAAGCCACATTCTTTTGTTTCTATTGCTTTGTTGTAAATAAATTAAAATCATTATGGGTAATTAGTATGATTGCAGAATAAAAAGTTATTTTTCCATATATAAAGAAATGTTTTAGACTATATTGCAGCTGACTGATACTGCCTTTCTGGCTCTTATGAGTTTGAAAACGGCTTTTGCACTGACTGCAATTATCCACGATTTTCTAATTTCCAAAACAGGTATTGGCATTATCACCTAATTACAATAACCGGGCAGTAATTCAAATGGCTTAATTGAACTTCCCTTTGTAAGTTATCAAAGAGGTGACTAGCTGTTTGTCACAGTCCATCGGATTGTCTTGTGTCATTAATCTCCAAGTGGCAGGTCACCCTTCCCCTACTTCATGGTCTCTGTAATAGGACCCCTGCCAGGGATGTAGTGCAGCTGAGGGGCAATGAAGCATAAATGCAAACTGACTGGAGCCCCTCTTTCCACCCTAACATTTATTTCAGCTCTACAGTATAAGCACTTCAAAGGACAGAGATTAAGATTTCAAAGGGGCCCGGCGGTAATCCTGCGCCACAGCCCCTACTGCAGTGCCACTCGGAGTCCACCGGCAAGGCGATCCGAAACACATGCCGTATAGGAGGGGGAGCGGAGAGGGGAGGGACCCTCGCAAAAGTTTCTTACCGGTCAATTTGCTTGAGCAATCACACACCCCTTTGTTTCATTCCCTCACCAGAGCAGTGTGGGCAGATGTGTTCCTAGTCCCACGTAGAACCTTGCATCGGCGGTGCATGCAAGGCCCATTTCGCGATGGAAAGAGTGACAGTAACAAGACCCTGATTGGGGCTGTGGGGCTTCGGGTTGGGTTGGTGGGCCATGCCTTTGATCTCCAGGCCCACAGGTAATCCGAGGACTTATACTGATGAGAATCGAAGGATCGGCCCGGTGGCCTCTACAGTAAGTCTGCCCAACAAAGTACAATAGGCAGAAATTCAGGTCAGGCCCAAGCAGGCACATAAAGCCTGAAGAAGCAGACCTCCTGGGAATTTTCCTCAAGGGACTTGAGGCCTGCCACCCAGTACTGGATAAGCGGTTAGAAGAGTGATGGACGGATGAAATTTTTTTGTGTCACACCACAACACAAATGCAGTGGCATCTTAACAAGGCAGAACATTTTTTATCTTAGAAATGCGATGTAAAGTCCTCAATAGGAAACAGAAATGAGATGTACAGTGCTTTGTTCTTCCTTCCAGAAGAATGGGGAGTTAATAAGCTATGAGAAAGACTACATAGTGAGGTCTGCAAAAGGCATCTGACCTTAATTACATTAGAAAACAGCCCCCACCCACACAACATTGCTGCTGACCAACACCTCTCCCCTTCCTGGACAAATCCCCCACACCTCACTCACTGGCATGTGCCTGTAAGACACCCCCAAATTTAGTAATGCCTGCTCTCCAGCAGTTCCTCCTTTGTTGGAAGCCACATCTTTTTTAAAAAATGTAATTATATTCCTCATTATACTTTCCTGTAAACTTTACCTTTACAACAGTTCATTTCTAAGCCCACTTTACCCCATATCTAAACAAATGCAATTGGGTTTATTAAACCCAGTCATATTTCACTTGCTTTTCCCATGCTTGTTATCCATCTGTTCTCACTGTCATCACCCCAGTCTATGATCAAGACCGTCTCTCCCGTCAACTGTCAGCGATGACAACTCTACATAAATCTCATCGCTCCTACAAGGTTCCCATTCCTAATTATACTACGATCCCTGGAAATTCCGCCAGCAAGCTAACCACGAATCTTTCACGCAAAACGAAAGTTAGTCAGGTCCCTAAATCAGTTTTAGCATGGTGAGTAAAAGTCTCATTTCAGCGAGTGGCTGCTGCGCAAGCGCGCTGCAGTCTCGCATTTCTTGAAGTTTTAAAGGCAGAGAAAGCGCCGTAGTTGGCTTTAGTGTGCGAGAGGGAGAGACGCCGCTAAAGCACGCAGGTTGTTCAAAGTTGGAAATTACAGTGACGAGGCGCTTATGGAAATAAATGGAATATCAATTCAAGACGCATACAGACTTCTGTAACACTTTGTTGTAAGTTTTGCACTTTTGCGTTAATTTTCTAACTCATTCACTGAAGTTTAGCAGAAACGATTGTAGTTAAGTTTTATGTTTTGGATCATAGATTTTGCAGACGAAAGTAAGATTTTTTATTAAGACTTAATTATAATGATCTCAACTTAACTTTTATTAACTGTATGACGTTTATAATTGTTTTGCAAATTAACTTATTATTTGACTGAATTCTGGCACAATACTCTGAAATCGAAGTGACAGTTTAACATTCTGTAAGGCGCTATTTTTTTGTATTTATATCCGAAAATAGGCCGTGGGATTGAGTAGATACAATGTTGGGACTTCATCTCTATACTGCTTGAATCGTTTTGCGATATTTTTTCAAGTTGTTGAAGTTATTTTAAATACAGTGATTTATAAATATTTGCGTACCAGTAATATTTTACAGATTATAATGTTGTGTAGGGTAGTTTTGGTTGTTTTTGTCCATATGATATATTCACTTTTGGGTCTTAATTGCGTCTTGTATTGAATGCCTGGAGTGTGTGCAGCGCTTTCACGCGGTACCCCAGGGAATAGCAAATAATTAAGGTGCGTCTCGAATCCGGGCTAGTTTTTGCTCGACCGTGAACAACGGAAAACACGCAACGGACCTTAAAATGATACCGGCATGGCGTGTAACCTCTCTGATTGCCTTATCTCCAAGTTAACGAAATGCATTAGTCATTCTTGGTGAGGTTCCCTGTAGGGTTACAGCCTTATTAAATGTTTCGTGCAGTTGATAGTTGCATTAGTATCGGAAAATTTAATTGAATGATTTACTATGTCCCGTCATAGAAGTGGCATAGTAGTGAGTTTTGCTTAGTGTTAGTGCTGTTTTACGGTTCATCTCCAGTTTTTCCACTCTCCTAGACTTCTAGGAGCAAAGTAATACTAAAGAAAAGCAGGATGTCTTCATAGATCACTGTCTACATTAGACTTAAATATGACAATATAAATGTGATAGCCTAATGGTCTTTTTAAACAGCACTGGATTAAAGTAAATGTATGGTAAAAATGTGACTTATCCGGTCCTCGAAGTATTTGTACTTCTTCGCTAAGTCGGTAAAAGACCGACTGTTGATCTGGCAAATTTTGGAGAAAATAGCATATATTGTTAAATTACGTCTGATGACATGGCTTTATCGTTGAGCAAGTTGATCGGAAAAAAACACGAAATACACAGGAAAAATCCCCGGCTTTTCCGACAGCTTCATAGCACCATCCCATGTGCCCCATCAAGGGGAGCAGCCGGCTTGTTCTCCTGGCCGGTGGGATGTAATTAAGAAGTAGCGGGCAGAGACGCACGCTTGGCAAGGCGTGGAGGCGGAATGAAGGCGGACAGGACGAGACAAGCCGCTCGGGAGGGAGTGTGCGGCTGCTTCCACAGAGCCGTAAATCCGGCATCTATACCGGCAGGCCGAGCCTGACATCGGCATTAAACCCAGGAATTAAAATGTACTATTTACACATTAAGTGACTGTCGGATTAGTTGTGGGGGAACCACACACGTGTATAGCCCCTGGTAATTACAGAACATGGGTTTCTAGGTGGGGGCGTTGGCGCCTTTGGCCCAATTATTAACTAGGTAGTCTATTGAACTGCACAGCATGACGTGAAGCCGGCTTTCAAAAGTACATATTGTACAGATTACCTTTGGATTATTCTTAGGCTGTATTGACTGTGTTTATCTTATTATAAGATGCAGTTATATTTCTGTATCGTCCAAATGTAAGGGGTTGATTATGCTTGTAATGCCTCCCTTGTGTGTCACGTTGGATAAAAGCTCTGCTAAATAAATAAAACGTAAGTCTACAAAACGGGTTGATTTTTTTGGCCCTCTGTTGATATAGCTCTTATTTACCTAACAAACTGAGATCAGTTTATTTAAATTTAAATGAAAGCAGATTTGAATATAGTGCTCATATTTCAAGTGCAATTAAAGACCGCAGATTCTGCATGAGTTTAAATGTCAGGTTTAATTTAAAAATCATTCTCTGGACACCGGAACCAGTGTTGGAATTGCAAATAGATCATAAGTCATTCTCCAAATAAGCACATGTCACAAATAATGTATCTGTGTATTTGAAAATTTTTTCTTATCTATTTCCATCCATCCATCCATCCATTTTCCAAACCACTGACCCCCCTGGGTGTCATTCTTGTAAATCCATTCTAGTAAAATTGAATGGTTTCAAGCTAAAAGTATTTTATGGGATAACTATGATATCTCATTTGCTGGTGTTTGCATTATAATGTAAACGTGTGGTGACATTTTCTTGGTCTTCGTTTTGGTTTTGACCCTGCAGGCTGCTCTCCTCCCCCAGATTCTGGGACACACTGGATGCTGAGGCCGCAGGTGCCAGGAGATCAGTAGGACCTGTGGGAAGGCAGCCTCCATGCTGATAAATGTGACCTCGAAGGAGTTTCAGGCCTGTCATGGAGTGTCACCAAGCGGCCCCTGTGACGCGGCCATGGAAGTAACTGGCATGGACGTCATCGCCACCCCGCTTGCCCCGCCTCCGCCGCCACCACCGCCTCCGCCCCCTCCGCCCCCACCCCCTCCGCCATCTCCCGGCATCACGCAGCTGCACTCCATGCCCCGTTCCAAGCTGCGTAACCTCAACTGGGAACGCATCCCTAAGGAGCGGGTGGAGGGCAGGCCGAGCGTATGGAGCGAGCCCGCCGCCGCCGAGGACGACTTCGCCATCGATCTACGCTCGCTGGACGAGCTCTTCAGCCAGAGGGAGGCGCCGTCTGTGCAGAAGGCTAGCAGCTTCCGCCGAAGCCAGAGGCGGCGCGCGTTGACCCAGGATGGTTCTGACAAGGTGAGCGGCTTCTCCCTCAGCCTAAGGCGTCCGGCAGCGCGGGCTTTACAGTTTCCGGGGAATTCCATGGATGTGTCAGCGTGTTTGCTGGCACTGTAAACCACCAGACTTATGGGTGTCATTTGCCCTGATATGACTTCAGAGAAAATAAAAAGCAATTACACCACCAACGCAAGAAGAGGCTGCGGAGAGTCTTTCAGGATACTGCGAGGGAGGGAAAAAGAGACAATGACTCATTTCCTCCCTGGAGAAAAGCAATTGATCCCAGCACTTGTAGTTTTTATGTATAGCTGGGATGGCTGTAGCACTGCTGTAGTTTGTATATTAATTACTTTTATGGGTCTCTTTTTACTAGGTTATGTCTCCGTGGTGCCTGAGGCTGTTAAGACCCTGCTACAATTTAATTGACTCAATTAACAAATATCAATTCATATCATTAAAACATGACGAGATGGCAAAACGTTGCCGGGAAAACAAATGCAAAGCAGTTTAGATACTCCACTTAGTGGAGAGTACAGACCAATACATCAGAGTACATTTTATAGAGTGTAGTACACTCGTGTTCCTGTGATTTCAGAGAGTAAGCTATGTTGTTCATATCCATAAATTTGTTGTTAAAGTGCAAATACAAGACACAATGTTTCTTGCACAGACATTTTTTTAATGTTTGAGACGTATAGTTTTTAAAATATATATACTCCTAATTAAAATGAAAATATAAATACCTATTGTCTTTTTGAATTCAGACAAATTCCAGTAAATTCAGCTCATGTTTAATTTTATTGAAAATATATATTATGTATTACTGAATCGAATCGTGTCATTTCGGATATCGGCAGAATCATAGCAAAGCTTATGATTTATACCCCAATTCAGTATGTGTGACAATCCCTTGCTAAAAGTGGATATTTAAGCCAAAATTCAGTGGTTGCGTTCCATGACATTCGCATTGCATCTTCTGATAATCTGCATATTTTGCAGTAAATTCCTTGTCTGCAAAAGTACTGGGGAATAAATAAACCACCCTCATTCTGATGTGAACATTGGAACCTCCCTTACAAACACCCTTTACCTGAATCTATGTATTGCATTCAAAGGAAGGAAACTGTATTAGTCAATCCAGTCAATCTGATGTCTCTTGTGTCTCTCTCCTCATACAGGTTTCCCTTTTAGATGCCAAGCGTAGCATGAATGTGGGAATTTTTCTGCGTCAATTCAAGAGGTAAGACCTTCTATATCAGTGTCTTCCAATCCAGTAACCAGGGACCCCCGGACTGTCTGGCAGGGATCAGGGAGAGAGCAAATCGTGGGCTGTCTGGGGGGGGCCCAAGGACCGGAGTGGGGAACACTGCTCTATATGTTCCTAAGTTGGCTTTATTGCAGATAAGTGTCTACAAAAGAGCTGTATAGTTGTTTGTGTCCCGTTTGCTTAGGGTGCTTTTCCACCGCACAAAATACGGTACTTTCGGTACTTTTGCTTTTCCATTGACTTCCGGTCGAGTACCAGTACCGAAAGTGCCAAACCAGCTGGGGTACTTCTTTGGTACTTCGGTACTTTTTGCAAATGTATTTGCTGTCGATTGGTTATGCAAATAGCCTGCCGCTGAAACACAAAATACAACCGCCATCTTTTGAAACACACAGCGAACTGCGAGAAACGAAATAAAAAGCAGTAGAAACAAACATATAAAAAAAGTAAAATGGAAGAATGGATAAACAAGGAAACACAGGCTTTTATCGCCATATGGTCAGATGAACAGATCCAGCAGAATTTGGATGGCACGACTTGAAATAAAAAAAGTATTTGCCGTAATAGCAAGCCGCTTGGAAGAAATGGGGCACATGCGAAACACCGAACAATGCCGCTTGAAAATCAAAAAACTTAAGCAGGACTACAGGAAAGTGAAGTATCATAATAACATGTTTGAATTCAGTGAAAGAAATACCGTTCCGCGCTTTGTGATGATGTCAGTCAGGGGCGGTCACTGATGATGTCATTTGGCACCGGTACCAGTTTTTACGCCAGTGGAAAACCGACACAAAAGAAGTACCGTACCTTTGGTACTTTATGGAAGTACCGAAAGTACGGTACCTGGTGCGGTGGAAAAGCGCCCTTAGAGAAAGCAGACCCGAACCAGGAGGAACAGGTTCTTAGCTTGCTTGTTGTGTATAGTCCCGTAGGTGCAGAAGATAGATGATACTTAACTAACAAAGTTAACACCCTCAGGGTGTTTGGAAGGGGGGGCAGCAATCGTCTGAGGTTTTTGTGGGGGGTGAGAGCAGGGTCATGGACAGAGACAGACAGGTGTGGAGTGAGTGGACACTTTGAGTGTACAGCTGGGGTGTAGTGTTTAAAGGTCATTGGGGTCAGAATTGACACCTGCTTTGAACCTTTAAGCCTCATTTTAACTGTGTGCTGACCCCCCACAGAGAGAGAAAGGAAGTGCTCTGCTTTTCCTTTTCTCTCCTTTGTTTGAGCTTTTTTATGAGCCAGAGAGCTCATTAAAACATGTTGTGCTCTCCAGGTGTCATCCACTTGTATTTACTTGATAATGGTTAATGGTCCCCCCCCCCCTCCTCCCCACACTCTCTAATTTACATTACTGGGAATGTTAAGTCATACTTAAGTTTGCATTTTAACTTGCCTGTCTGTATAACATTCGGTCTTTCTGTTCATTGGGCGTGATGTCATGCCCCTACTTGTGCATTGAGCAAGTGGGTGAGCGAGGGTGTTTCATGCCCATCTTCAGTACGAGGGCTGTGCTTCCAAGTGACTGTCAATGTCTGTCAGGACTTGCATGGAAGACTCGATATAATGAGGGTGCTTTTGTGGATGGAAAAAAAAAAGTTTGTATCCACCCACTCATTTGTCCTGCCCTTGTAAAAAAAAACGGGAACGACATTTTAATTCTTATAGAACAACACTTTTGAAGTATGTTTGGACTGAAACCTGTCGGATATGTCGTGCTTATGTGTTGGATACTTATTTAATACATAGCTTAAGCTATGCAGACTGACAGGCTGCCATTAAGTTTTTTTTTTTTTAAACTTAGCTTACATCTAATGTTACACATACTTGCCATTGGCCTAACTCCTTGTCTTCCAGTTTAACATACAGAATCTATGTGAAGTCTCCTCTGGTGTTTTTCTTTAAGAATATCCGCAGAGATAAAATTGTTTTATGGTTAGACTTTTGATGAACTGTAAATAATGAGGGTTGTGAAGTATGAAGTGCATCCAACATTTCCCTTAAGTACAAAAAAAGATCACCTATAAGGGACAAAAGGTGTCCAAACGGCTCCCGTATTGCAACAGTGTGTGTTCAATTCCTTTCAAGGGAAGATAAAACCAAAAATAAACACGATCGGAGGCACCTGTACGGGTTTGTTTCTACTTGCTGTTCTTTTGTTTTGTGACTAAAAGCCAGACCGTCTGTCTTTGGGCGAGGTTTGTGTTGATGCAGACAAAGGGAAGGACGAGCAGGAGCGAGAGAGGAGAGAGCAGAAAGGGGCAGAGTCTGCTTCGGAGTAGTCACTTAGGCCCAAGTGAGTCTTTCACGTAGGAGAAATGGGGATGTGTGAACTTGTCCTTCTCGTGGAAACGTCCTTCCCCAGACTCGTTGAATGGTGTCGCACCTCCAGAACGGTGCCGTATCTGGGCATGGTGTTCATGCCTGTCCTCCAGTCTCAGGGTGACTTCCAGGGACGCTTTTCTTGTTTGCATTCTGCTTCCAAGTGTCGCCAGTTTGGCGTGAGACCTGTTATCCATAACCCCTAGGTGCAGATAAGCAGGCTCGTGGAGGATGATTTGCTCTCCGTTTGCACGCCGACTAAAGTGTACGGTCCAGAGCCTCGTAAAACTGGATTGCTTGCTGACCTCTGTTAAATGCCTCCTGACTCCAGGCCAACAGGCAGGGTGTTGCAAGGGAGTTTGATCACATTCATGCACTTTTTACAGTATCAGTCACAGACTCGTCTGGCTGGTGACTGCTTAATATGCATTAATCGTAGCTAATAACCTGAGCTCCTGTTTGCAGTAGGGTGGGGAGGTGGTGGATTAAAAGAAAGATGAAGAAAAAATGCCTGTGAACAAGATGTTTGTTTCTAAATTGCTCCATAGAGATCATAAGTGCATAGTCGCATCAGGTAGTGCTTGAGGCTGCCTCTGTAACAGATGAAGGTGATGTAATGCTACAGCGGGGGAGTTTCTCTCGTTCCACAGCCCCGCCAGGGAGATTGTGGAGGACATCAGGCAGGGGGATGGAGAGAGGTACGGGGCGGAAAAACTGAGTGAACTTTGCAAGCTCCTGCCGGATCGAGAAGAGGTATTTCTCCTACTCTTGTTTGTGGCACGTCAAGCCGTGTGCCCATAGGACAATATCACAGCCCTGGGCTGAGTTTGTTCAGGAGCTTCTATTACAAATTTGAGTCACGTACATATTATCTGCGCATTCATGCATCTTCGGGCTAACCGGCGACGTGACTTGTCTACCGTGCAGGAGAAGCGCCTACGATCCTTCCAGGGGGACCGCAGTCTGCTTGGGGAGCCTGATCTCTTCATGCTGCTTCTAGTGGAGCTACCCAGGTAAGTCGGCTGCCCCCGGCGGCTTCATGTCAGCGTCTCCTCCCCGTCCGAGCTCGGTCACCCAGAGCTATCCCAAGGATAAAACAGTAAGACTAGCAGAAAGACTGACAGAGAGGTGTATGTATTCCCTGGGGGCTGATGCAATAAATTCTAGTGGGCGGGGGCTCTGCCTAATGTCACTCTTCACACCAGCTGTGCTCGACCTCTGCAATCTCCTCACAAACCCCTCCCCCACTCTGAAGCAGCCCATCTGTGACTACCTCATTTAATGCTGAGTCAGTTAATCAGTTCACTGCCTGCATCCTCCCTCACTTTGTCTTCTATGTTCACACACAGTCCGCCCCCCCTCCTACACCCCCACCCCTGCATAAGCGACCCCAGTGACCCTTTTGCCTATCCTTGTCTT